GCTGAACCTTGGCTTCGTGTGCTCCTTCCTTTTTATCTGCTTTTCGTTTTCCTCCCGAGCAGAAAGAGCGAAGATCAATTAGAGATATAAATTATGTATCAATTTCCAGTTCTTTGGTAAACGTAATATTTAGGGTCTAGGATATGGCAATATAATTTTTAGACACCCAATTTTCATTGCCTTTTATTTAAGCAAGTACAAGGTCAGTTTATGGTTGTTGATTTCTTTAGAAAGCTCTTACAGGGTTTTATTGTAACCTGCAGATGATAATGTCGTGGATAAAGCTCACAGTGTATCGTCAGGTACTTGATTCGTCTTATGTAGCCATAAATGTGTGCAGTCTGAGGCCTTGTACTAGTAAACTTCACTTTTTTAATCCAAATAATTATGTAAAACCAGTTTATTGATTATCTCAAAACAACAGTAATGAATTGATCATTATTTTTTTCAGAAAATCTGATTATCAGGTGGTGGGAGAAAAATCTTTCATTATTTAAGCATTAGAGCTCTTAATGCCTATTCACTATTGTTTAGCTGAATGTTATCCTCTCCTCTTTTTCTGTACTTGTATGGCAAGTTGCCAGCTCTGTCCCCCCTCAAGTTACGTTCTGTTTGTCCTAGTTGCCTGGAGCAGTAGCAGATATGGATTAGAATATTGTGACCAAAAGTAATCTTGGCATTTTACTATTATAGTTACTGGAAAAAAGCTGGGAAAGTTTTACAATATAGCTTTCTGACCTGAAAACTCAACGTACTTTAACTGTGGTTGTAGATTTGATAGTAAAGTTTATTTAAAAAGGGGAAAAATGCTGGACTATAGTATTGTCTGCAAGAGCTGTTGGACTTCTCCTTAATACATGATGCATATAAACTTTGTGTAGTAGCGTGCTTTTAATTCAGGTCTCCAAGCACAGAAGGGTTGTTCCAAGGGCCTAAAGCAAATCAACAGATAAAAGATATACAAATTATTAACAACTGATAATAAATATGTATGACTATTTAAATACAAAGAAGTAAAATGAATTTAAAGTGTAACTCTCCGTAGACTGATCTAGTTAGTAAGGCTGTACTTGTTTTAAAGGAGGGGAAAATAACCTCAAAACAGATAATGCCCAACTCAAATATTTTGCTGTTTAGGTTTTTTTATCTTCATGTGCAGTAACTTCTGTTATATAGATATTAAAATATTTAAGCAGTCAGGTAGTTTAATATATAGGGTTTTTTTTGTAATGTGTATTTATTTCCCCTGGAGAGTACTTAATAGATTTGAGGGGTTTGGGAAAACTATGCCTTTTCCCACCCCTAGTAATCTGTTTTAGAAATTACAGGAATTGGAATTCAATTCTTTGGTCTTTTATTCATTTAAAAAAGGTGAACATATACAATGAAGGAATCTAGTTGTAGAATTGTTTCTATTTTTTTAACATTAGTCAGATTTGAGAACAGAGCATCTGGCTGCTTATCCTAAAGGCTGCTATAAATGCTTCAACACAGCACTTCAGAATATTAGTTGAGGCTTTTAAAACGTGCCTGCCTTCTGCTCACTATCGTGCTTTCTGATATTTCTTGGACGCTGGGGAGTAGAAGGGGTTCTTTGCTTTCTGGTCAACAACCAGTGAAATAAGTTGAAATTTCTTCAGTCTAATCAGATAATTTCTAATAAACTTCATTTCCAAAATCAGACCCCTTTCATACTTCATTTACTACATGATCTTGCAATGCACCTAAACTGTGAGTTTACCACATCAAGATACGTTCATTATAAAACTTATTTCACAAAAATAAACACCACACAACTAAATGTCAGTTGTGAACTTTTTTGTTGCCATTTTTAAGTGCTCCCTTCTGAAGGCTGCAGGGAAGATGAGCTTTGTAGCATATCCTGCAAGTAAGCAAATCTCTGCTCTGAGCGGTTGCTGGGGGAGGCGTTCCCGAGGCGCAGCCCCTCACAATGCCGCCTTTATCACCCCTTTCTCTACCACTGCAGGGCAGCTTTTCTCCTTTTTTTTTTTTTTTTTGTTGCTGGACTTCTTAACCAATGAAATAGTTTTGATCTCCTTTGACATGACCTAAGCTTATGTGGTGTGTCTTTTGTTCCCTGCATCCATGAGAGGTGTGGGAAATCTAAAGCAAAGCAGAACTGGTTACAATAGCGAGAATCGTTGCAGTCAAATTCTGTTCAGTCCTGTGGCTATTTTTCATGAAGACTTTTCAGCACAGTTAGTTTGCAGATGCTGGTCTGATGGGTTTTATTTTGTAATTTTGATTGATTGTGCTTTACTTGCTTTGTTGCCTACTTTACTTTGCTAAACTACTTCCATTTTAACTAATGGGAATATTAAAGAAAGGCCAAGATATGTGCAACATGAGAATTGGTTGCAAAGGTTTCTGTGACAAGGACCATCTTTGTACACCTGTACTGGAAAGGTTCATGCCAATTAAAATTGCCATTTGAACTTTGTTTTTTTCAATGTAAAATTAACCAAAAGATGTTTGCTGCTTAATTGCTAAATACAATCCATTCTTGACTATTTGATGTAAACAAAAAACCTAAACAAAACAAAATATTATAAAAATACTTAGCTTTTCCTTTTGCTTTTCAATGCTCCTTATCATATTTTTGTATAGTCACATGCAGATACTAATTCTGCGACAGGATTCTGCCTAGGTTGTGTTTAGTTTTGGAAAAGCCTTGCAAAACAAAGTATATATGGTTGTGATTTGACTTCATAATACTAAGTGTGAGGTCTTTCAAATCTTGGCATTTTGTCTGGGTTGACTCTGCAGGGGTGGTTACAGGAAATGCTTTCTCCCAGGAAGCATAATTTTCTGCAATCACTTGTGCACACTTTTGTCTTCAGTATAGCTAAAGCTGGTGTTAGTTGATTACAGTCCTTTTTTTTTTTTTTTTTTTTTTGTGTTTTATTGTTCTGACAGAACAAATACTTTGCTTTATCTCAGTTTGATGCCTGGCTGATATTTTTCCTTTTCAGGGCTGCCTGTAGCATCCTATGAATTGCATTCTACACAACGTTGTTGTTTTTTGCTAGCAGGAAGAATTAATCTTTTGTTCCCTGATCACACTACTGAGAGCAAGACTGACTTGGGGATTTTTTTTTGAGGGTCAATATACAAAGCTTTGGAATTTCCAAACATTATTTGCCATGGGGAAGTGATAAAAATAGCAGAAACAGTGAAGAGTTAGGATGAAGTAATTTGCCTTACTGGCACAAGCCTTTTGTGCAGCTTTAGGGGGAAGTAGAACATTGAGCTGGTCTTGGTAAAATCTACTCAATTCTTGGCTGGGCTAATTTTAACATTGGTAATTCCGTGACCCATTTCTTCTTCTCAGTTATTCAAATCCATGTAATTCCTTCTTCAGGAGAAAAATACCATACGTTTTGAGGAGAGCTGGACTTTAAGCTGGTTGTTTACTGCGTCCCCAGATGCTTCAGTTAATGATTTGGCTGTTGGCTGTTGTAGAATTTATGTGGTACCGTAGCTTGCAAAAAAAAAAGTGCAAAGTGGTATTTTTAAGAGTGACTGCTGAAAACTGTAATTTTGTCTTAAGGAAACATTTTCATCTTACTCTCCTGTTTGTGTTCCATTTCTGTAAAACTCCTTGTTTACTAGAGATTAGCTACAGGGCAATCAATAACTTCTATCTAAAGCCATGGACTAGACTGTTTCCAATCAAATAATGTGAAACGAGAAATTGTTAGGTGCTGTCAAACTGTGTGTATTTAATACAGCATCATGTGTGGATACTTGAACCTATAATTTTAGCACTCCCCTGCTGATCTGGGAGCTGTAGAGGGAAACAAACTGTGTGCCCCATGAAATGGCTGATGGCAGGTGTCTCTCTCGAGCAGGAAGGAGCGTCCGATATCCCTGGGCATCTTCCCGCTGCCCCCGGGGGATGCGCTGCTCACGCCCGACGCGCAGAGGGAGGGGGGCGAGACGCCCGGCTCCGAGCACTGGAAGTTCCATGAGCTAAGCCAGCCACGGTCCCACACAAGCCTCAAGGTGAGCACTCAACTTGGCTGCCGTGTGTGTTAGGATGAACTCCCGGGAAAAGGTGATTCATCCTTGGTGGGGAGGAAAAGCAAGTTGAAGGGGGAGGAGGTAAAATCCTAAATCATCTTTGTGTAAGCCAAGAGTTGCTTACTCTTATGAGTTTTGAGGGAAGTTACTCACTGGAAGAAACAGTCTGGGTTGCATTTTCCAAATGAGTTGAAATACAGGCTAGTTCTCTTACTCCCAGGAATGGCTTCTTTTCTGACTAAGGACCCTTTCCAAAGGTCAGGCACTTGTTCTTTACACACTAGGTACATAACGTAAGTGTAAACAGGTCTGCTGGCTTAATATTGCTTTAGAAGGGAAGCTTTGATTACTACAGAGGCAGTACTCTTAACCCAGCCCCTGCCTGCTCTCAGGCATGTAGCGTAGGTATACCACAGAGCTGAGAATGACCTAACTTGCCTGAATTAGCCTCTGATTATGATTTCCCTTACGTGTAGCTTGGCTATAATTCCTGCAATTGTTCTGTGTTCAACAGTGAGAGGGTGGCATAGAACAAGCTGCAGAAATGGAAAAATGGGGGTGATGGTGTTGGAGTGTGATGAATCTGGCAGTCAGGACTAGGGTGCACCAAGAAGGCAGCAGGAGGAGGGTCTGCAGGGTGAAGAACTCCAAAAATATGTGTAAAACCTCCCTATACAGTTTTGTTGAAGAGTTTTTTTGGAAGACTGTGGATGTACTGTTACTTCTGGAAAGGCATAAAGCTGAGGGGAATTTCCTCTTAAGTGAACTTAGTGCATAGTAGGGGAATACTAAACTGATAAGAATTGAAAAGCTCTTTAGAAAACCTAACTGAAATACAACTGAAACTTTTGACTGGGAGTAGGTGGAGATAAGATATAAAGGAAAGTCTCTGATCCCATCCTGTCCCCTCTGAAAAGCATACTGGTTACTGTATACTGTCAAAATAGGCTCCTTGGTATAGTTCTTCTAAAATAGTCTAAAAACTATAAGCTGCTGAAAGACAGTTTGCAAAATGGCACGGACAGTAACTTTTCAAATGTAGTTAAACAGAATAAGTTCCTTAAGTTCAAAGCTGCATATTTGGCTTTTAGCTGTGATGTAAAGTGCTTCTGAAGTGAAGCTGTTGAATAACGTGATACATTGAAGTCACAAGCATCAGAATGTGAAATTTGCTTCTCTAATATTTTTTATTTCCTCTAAATACATGTAACATCGAGTGCAAGACACATGGAAGGCACAAGTGAGATTCTGCTACTTTCAGGCATCTGTGTTCTATTCATGCGTGAACATTTCATTAATGGTTAGTCTTTCCTCTAAAAGTATCACAAAGATTAAGTGTCAGGGAGAGACCCAGATGAGCAAGCCTGGATGTTCTGTAGCTTGTATAGTAGTGACATTGCTGGATATCCTTGTAAGACAACATACAATTAGGTACCACTCCTTCTCTTCTGCTTATTTCTGCAAAATGTTGCAGATGAACTACTGCTTCTTCAGGTTTAATTTTCTAATTTTCAAACTAATTTTTCTTTTTTTCAGGAGAAGTCTTTTGGCAGCTTTGACACAGAAGTCAGATTTGCTGAGTCCATATAGCACTGACTTTCAAAAGCTTAGGCTTTGAGTTATGTTGATTAATTCACTGTCTCTTAATGGAATTTAATTTCACTTTTTCATTAGTTCTAGAACAAACATTCATGATGATTAGTATAGTTTCCAAGAGCTGGCTAGAAAAATACAGTGGAGAATAAAGCCATAAAATAGATGGGATTATTTGAAATTCCTTGAAGGAAAGGACTGTTCTCTCCACTGTTTTCTCTTGTGCTATCAAGCTGTTTTTTCTTGAGCTTTGTGTGTGAAAGTCAGTGATCAGTCTGTGCCGCATCAGTTAGTGGATGCTTTTGGAATACAAATATGTAGAAATGTTTGAACAGAGCCAACAGCTCTGCTGAGGTTTTATTCCTTGTTTGTGTGAACTCTGGAATTCCTTGGTGTAAGTGGTACCATTTCCTCCCTTCTGTATCTGCTTGCTGAAGGATGAATCATTAGCCAGTGGCTGAACTTCACCAATCAAAAGGCAATTGAGTAAATTGTGCAGCTTCGCTTTTCTTTTTTTTCTTAAATGGACACGACTGTATCTCATGTAACACTTGCCTATGCTGGTTTTGTTGCCTTGTGTAACTATGGGTAAGCATACATGTTTTACTCCTGGAGAGGTGTCTGTTGGTTCACTGTATTTCTGAACAATTTTGTCAGATTATCAAATATTTGGTTATTTTTGAGTTTGCTGAAAGGAGGAAAACTGGAAGTAATTGATAAGCAGGTCTTGAAAGTGCTGAATTTTGTGTCTAGGGCTTGCAGATTCCATGTGCAAATGCCACTACAGGATGCATTTTATGCTGATAGACAAATGTCTGTTTTCCTCCCTTCCCCACAAATTTAAAATCTTACCAACTTCAGAACTTCCAAAAGTAAAAAAAATAGAAATTACAACTCTGATTAATCTTATGCTAAGGACAAATGAGAGAATGTGTGTCTCTATGCAGGTCTCTTTTGTTGTTTGTTGTTTTTTTAAAATAAAATTCAGTTTTACTTCCTTCTCAAAAAGAGATGCTAAGCAGTACAGTGGATTCATGCTTTACAAAATCTAAACTTGCTTTGTTCGTGATAAGCTGAAGTTTCCTGAAGTAACATTCTTCTAAATGTCACAGGCTTGTCTAGGGGCATTGCTTTCACCTCCCATTCCCAAAAAAAGCCCTAAAAGAACCTGTGATTAAAAACATACCATCCTGCCTTCATCTTGCACGTACCAGCCTCAGCGTGTTGTCTTGATTTCTCCCAAGGAGATTCCTCTAAACTCTATGCTAAAATATATTGACCTAAACAGACCAGTTTGGAGTTGTATCTAGAGCAAGCTCCTGTTCACTGGTATGTGCTGTTTAAGTTGTAAGTAAGACACCTGGATGCTGGTATGGCTCTGGTCATGGATGAGGAGTAAAATAAGAATGAAAGGAGACATGGTCCAGAAAAGAGCTATTACTATTATCAGGTAGTAGCGTCTAGCTATATGAAAACTTGAACACTGTGCATGTTGCAGCCCTGTCTGAGGAATGAACATAGTCTTGAGTCCAGCAGCTGGATTAATACCTGTCTTTGGGGCTTGTGAGATAGTGTCACTAATGTCAACTGTTGCCAGGAATCAGCCTCTTGGGAGGAGCTTTTTCCTGGTGTTCTGTAGTTGATCTGGAATCTAACTGGACAGATATACATGCTTTGAACAAGCAATCATAACAGTTTTGGGAGGATTCAGCAGTTCGTTGTGCAGCTAGAAGGATTATTAATATGGGAATGTTGCCTGTTGTCTGGAAGATTTAACAGAAAAGCACCCTGAAGTTGTTGACTATAATTATCAAATGAGATCAAACATTATTATTAAAAATAAGGGCACGTTTTATGTAGCTATAATATCCTTAACAGAAGTGAAACAGCCATAGTCTAAAGATGAATTTGGCAGTACTGGCTGAAAGTAATCTTTCCATTCCTGTTTCTTTGCATTTGCATATGCTTCAGTAAAATACAGTAGTTTTGGTATTTGTTCTTCAGTTTGTATGCTTAACTCTTCCAATAATATTTTAATTCATGTACTTTTAATGGTAATGTTCAATTTTAGGATGAGCTCTCTGATGTTAGCCAAGCAGGCTCAAAATCTACTACTCCAGCGTCCACAGCTCCTTCAGATGTACCTGTACTGCCTGCTGAAACTCCTCAAAAGGAAGATGCTGAAGGGCTTGCTAAGAACACAGATATGCCAAATGAGAAGCTGGACGTAGGCAAGAATATTGAAGTACAGGTAGCTCAGGAGACAAGAAATGTGTCTACTGGTGAGCTGCTTTACCTTTTTAGTATATGCTTACTATGGGCCTAAATAACCTTTAATCTGTATGAATTTTCTTTGTGCCTAAAATGAGAAATATTTTGGACTCATATTTAGGAATACAGAATATTTGTAAGATATGGAAGTTTGTTGTTTTTATAAGAGGCTTTAGTCCTTATTTTTCTAGAATCAGAGTTATTTATGACATTTCCTTGTAAACAGCAGAAGTGGTACTCATCTAGACAAAGTCATATGATAGACCATCTACTTGCAGAAATAGAAGTAGTGGGGAATAACTACTTTTGGGTAACCTAAGTTAAATTCAGGAGAGGCTTGCATAGAAATTCAAGTGTCTGCTCTTGAGTATCAAATTCCATAGGTGGTCTTACTGAACTGCGTTGGTAAGTCTTTGGACAGAAGTCTACTAAGTTGATGATTGATTAGTAACAACTATATGTAGGTAATGTCATGTCACAATGGTTTTGTTTATAGAGATGTACCACTTGCCTTTCCTTAGGTGGAAATGAAAATGAAGAAAAATCTGAAGTCCAGGCAATCATTGAGTCAACTCCAGAGTTGGATATGGATAAAGATCTCAGTGGATATAAGGGATCCAGGTAGGTTGTGTTGTGGTTTGAGTAGGAAGACCAGTTTTAGAAGGTACCAGATGTCAGTTTTGAACTCATGACCCATTTATAAATTTTACCAACTGATACCATGCATTATATAATATATCTGCTTCTGTGACCTTACTTCCCCAAATTCCTAAGGAGATTTTAAGTGCAACAGCAGTTCTTCATTCTGTTGCTACAACTGGTGAATGTTTAAGATACTTGAAATCACAGTAGGCTTAAAAAGTGCTTAAATATTCCTTCCGTATTTCATGCAAAAGGTCTATACCAAGAGACCTTTTCTCCCTGGGTTCAGGGTTCAAGGTACTAGCACTTTACAAGTTGAGCCCCTCACGTTTTCACCCTTATCTTTAAAACCTAGACTTCTGACTGACTTGGCAAATGTTAGAGCATTTGGCTATCAGATGCTGATGGTGGAATCCCAGTGCAGGCAAAATGCTCTTGCTCAAGTTTGCTTCCTTCTAGGCTTTTGCTTGTGAAGGATAACATTTTTTTCAAAAGCTCTAGAGCCCCATAAAAAATAAGAAAAAAATAATCCTAATAGTGGAGGGAGTACCTGATATTTCAGGCAAGCACTGAGCATTTTAGAATCTAGCTACAGAAGTCCTTCAAATAGGTTATGAGCCTTGTTTCATTCTTGTGAGGGGATGGGAAAAATTTACCTAGTATAGTGAATGTTAATGGTGCAAGATCTGTGTGTGAAAGGAGCCCCTGTTCTGGCCAGAGGAGTATCTTTTTTATCTTTGACTATTTGGTTCTCTTGCATTCTTGTAACATTAAACGACTTGCAGTCTGGCTGAACTGCCCATTCTTCAGGTATTTAGGCTGACTCAAGTCCTGACAGGGCTGAAGTTCAATACACCAAAACTTGATATACTTTAATTTACTCAAATCCCAACCAGCTCAATAGCAGCAACGACCTCAACTTTGGGATCTCGATGCCGAAATATAATTTGAAGGTAGAGTCTACAACTAAGCTTCTGAAAATGTTACTTTTTTGGGGGGGTGAGTGGGGGGTGTAACAAATGAACTACTGGTAAAAACACAAAGAAAACTTTATTCAGTGTGGGAATGGTTTTGAGTTTTTTATTCTGCTTTTATATGTCTTGTCTTAATTCTTTGAATAGCACTCCTACCAAAGGCATAGAGAACAAAGCATTTGACCGTAACACGGAGTCACTCTTTGAAGAGCTGTCATCTGCTGGTTCTGGCCTAATTGGAGATGTGGATGAAGGTGCAGATTTACTGGGTAAGGAAGGTTATTTAAAGGGGAATTTTCCTTGTTAGTGGAGTGCTTAATTATCCTTGATGGATTTACTGTTAGGATTCATTTGCATGAAAATCTTTTGAGTATCATCCTAGGGTGGTTATTGGAATGAGAAAAACAGGAGAATGTTTTTGTTCTTTATTTCAGTGTAATAATATCAGCCTTAATCTTTTGGGGCATATCTTCTATTCTCTAGTTCAGTTTTCCGTATACGTTCTCTGACACAACAGTTTTTATCTTGAACTAATTTTAGCTAATTCAGTTTGTGCCCAGTCTGTAATGGCCTGGCTTTATCACATCTCGATGGAATTGAACATGTAAGAGAGAATTGCAGCAGAATGCCATGGTGGTAATTGGAGAATCAAATTGTTAATTGAAAGAGGAGGACAGACCCAGATTTCTCTTCTCCCTGAGCAGCTTGCTGCTGCTTGTGTGCTGACTGAACAAATGTAGGTTTTGGGAATAGTTGATCAAGAGTAAAAAGGTCATTAAAAGGATTTTTCTATAAACAATGACTGTCTTGCATTATAATGAGATTTTTGGACATGCCAGTATTGAGGGCTAATATTGAAATACTGAAAGCCAGTACTATAGAATGTGTAAAATGCATGAAATGCAACTCTGTGTTTTAGGAATGCGTTGTATATAGAAAATCAGCAGTTTGCTTCTGACATGTGACCTGGCAGAAATGTGAATTGTTACCAGTATTATTTAGAACTGTTGTGTGTGCTGTCCATATCTCTGGTTGTTCAGTGTTCCACCAGAAATTACTGTATATCAAGTAGGTGACATTTCTGCCGAGTATTACTCACTAGGAGTAATAGCCCTACCTCCAGTATGAGAGATGTTTTGTCTTTGTTGTCACGCCGCTGCTTTGAATCCTGAGCAGTGAGGACACCACATCCTTGTTGGAACATGCATCACCCAAAACTCTTGTGTTTCGTTGTCACAGGGACAACTAATGACACATTCTGAATGCAAAAATATAGGTACTGGAAAAGTATTAACATATAGTTGCTTCTGTCCTTTAGTTATGATAAATTGTCTGAAGAAATCATATTACTGTCAGGACTTCCCAATAATAGATGCTTTGTTTTCCATGGGCAAAAATAATATATTTTATTATAACCTATCAAAAGTTTGTCATTGACTTCATTACCATTTCCCATGAAACTACTGCTAGAAACACTGGTGTGTGCAGAATGAACACATCGTTAGAACTGCATTTGTTAGGCAGAAAGTGTTGGTCTAAATGTTTTATTATATAGTCATTATTTCATTTTGAGCACAACCATAGTCCAAATTACTCGGTTACTTAAAAGCTGCATCTGCATCCAGGCTAGCTGTTGTTTCAAGCATTTGGATCTAAGTGAGCATTAAACTTCAGTTCGGATTTCTGTGAAAGTAGTTAATTGGGATTCTCTAATCTGTTTTCTCTTGGGCTGCATACCCAGGGGAATATTCTGGTGTGTATGCTTCTTTTTTAAAAAAAGTTCTTTGTAATCTGTTGCTTCTACAGTTAGGCGTTCTTGGCTGCTGCTCTCATAAAATACATTCTTGGCATTTTTCCCCTGCTTGGTAACATTTTTTTTGCCTTTGCACTCTTGGCTTTCTAATTTTTGTTCTTGCATTATAAAGGATCCTGAAACCTGTCGGGAATGATGCTAGATAGTTTTATCTGTGAATACTGAAAACATTTAACAAGTGATAGCCACTTGAATAAAACCTCTCCATAACTGTACTGGAGGGGATTTCTCCAGATACTGACCAAGTAATGATAACTGATCTAAGTTCCTTCATTATTAAGTGTAATTTACCTTTAATGTAAACCCAGAGAGAGAAATTGCAAAAGAGGGAACTTTGACTTGCATGTCTATTTCTAAATACATTTTTTATTGTTATCCAAATATCTTTTAAGTCTTCTGTTGCCAATGTTGCTTAGAAGATTGTGCTCAGTATTTTATAAGGCCTCCACCATTAAAATACCTTTTTTATTAGTTGTGTTGATCTTGAATTGGCATAATTTCTGCCATTATCAGTGTGGTAGTTATTTTCCTGTGCAAGATGTAATTTTCTGCCTGAAAGTTTAAAAATTCTGCAATTCATATTATTTTAGGCATGCAAACAATAGGGTGAGAAGTTAATTTCCAGAAATTGAAATAATATTCAAGTAGTCACTTTCTTTCATAGTAGCATATTAATATGAAACTTTACTGAATGCTTTAGCATTTCTTCCATGTACTGTTCCTCTAAATTATTTCACAGAAAATGAGATAGACTTTAAAGAAGTCTAATCCAGAGAAATGGTTATGACAAACTTAACTTTCTTAACATCTGTCTCTCATATAAATCCTGCTTCTAATCACATCCCATTCCACTTCAAATTTTTGGTGGTGGCTTTGTTTTAATTCACTCTTACTTCATAAGTCTAAGTATTTTATTGCTCTTCACTCATACTACACCTTACATGAAATGTTTCTTGTTCTTGTTTTTGCTCTACATGGAATGCATGGGCTTTAAAGACAATAATTTCTTTGGTAAGGTATCATTTGCTCTGGGGGAGATCTGCAGGGCTTTTGCAATATGAACTTTATAATTGAGCATGTATTGTCTATAACTGATATACTTTTGTATCTAACGTGGTGTAAAAGACAGTCGAGCATCTTAAACCCTAACTTTTTGTGGACTAATACTTGCCCAATAATGCTGTGTTTGTTTTTTGACTTAGTACTATAACCTTGTCAAAATATATAGAGTAGGTGGAGGTAGTCACTAGCCTGTGGTTAGCCAGGGTCGCCTTTAGGCTTTTCTTGAAGTCAGATTGGGAAGAAGGTGGAGGGGGAAGCTGATTGTAGAAGGTAGGTCAGTCCTGAAACTTCAGACAGCTCACAGTTTTTCTGAGAAGTTTGTCATGCTTAAAAGTTCAGCTGGTTTTAGACAATGACAAAACATAATTTCATTTAAAAAAACAAAACAAAACAAAAAAAACCCCCTACTATCCATTTTATCTGCTAATTTTGTTTGTTTCTTTTGGAAAGGAATGGGTCGTGAGGTTGAAAACCTTATTTTGGAAAACACTCAGCTGTTGGAGACAAAGTAAGTGAGAATGTGAATGTAAAAAATTCTGACCTTGCCCGTTATTTCATTATGTCATCAGTATCTTCATACACAGCTGAAATTATACAAATGTGTTTTCAGATCTAAGAGTAGTGGTCGTATAAGTATTTTGAATTTGTTGGTATATTTGGCTAAATATATACCTTAGTATTCTTCTAGAAATTAAGCACCTGAGAAGCAAAAGCTGCTTTTATCCTTGCAAGGTTACAAGGGACGCAGTGTTATGTCCCAGTATGAGATCACCTCCCTGCCTTTGCTGTTAGGAACACAGCTGTAAGTGCAGAAGCTGATCCATTGGAGCTCTTCTGAGGAATTCAACCTCTATGAAAGCTGTTCTAATTTATCAGGAGTTTTTTTTTCTAATACAGAGGTGTGAATGTTTGACCATTTGAGATTTGGGGGAAGGGAGAGGGGTTGACCTGGTTTAGAAAGCTGTATCTTTTTACACGAGCTCTATGTAAGAATTTTGTAGGTCTTCAGGAGCAAAATGAGGCTGAAGCTAAACTATGAGACCATAGTCATCCTTGTAATGGTGTATTTTAAATGTCTGTGTAGAAATGCACTGAATGTAGTGAAGAATGATTTGATAGCCAAGGTGGATGAATTGACCTGTGAGAAGGATGTACTACAAGGTGAATTAGAGGCTGTAAAACAAGCAAAACAAAAGCTTGAAGAGAAGAATAAGGAACTAGAAGAAGAGCTGAGAAAGTAAGTTTAATTCCATGGTTGTAAAAAAGAAAGAAGAAACACCGATGTGGTAACTGATGCTGCTATTTTTTTTGTATTTAGAGCTCGTGCAGAAGCAGAGGAAGCGAGACAGAAAGCTAAAGAGGATGATGATGTAGGTGTATGTGTGTGTGTTTTTGTATGAATAATTCACAGTGGGACATGAGAAGTTTATGTGCATTTAGTGTGTGCTGCTAAACCTCGCTGCTGCTTAAGTAGCGGTAAACTTCCTCCATATAAAGAAAAGATGGAAGACCTAAAGAGCACAAGTAAACTTCAACCAACCGTGTCTAGTTTCCTGTCTTTCCTCTCCTCTCTGCCTGTTATTGTCGCATGCTTTTTAAAGAACTCGTTTTGTAATTTGGATTCTACTACATGCAAAGAAAGGGAGGAGAGGAAGGTAAAAATGAGTTAGGTTTTATAAAGCCCCAAATTATTTGAAATCTGGAATTGTGCCTAAGCTGACTCTTAGGCTGACTCTGCAAGGCCCTGCTGTGCTTCTTTGTTTGCCTTATTTGTCCTACGTTTGCCTTTTTCTGTGTTCAGAGTGATGTCCCCACCGCTCAGCGGAAGCGTTTCACTCGTGTGGAAATGGCCCGTGTCCTGATGGAAAGAAATCAGTATAAAGAGAGGCTGATGGAGCTTCAGGAAGCTGTCCGATGGACAGAGATGATCAGGTAAAAGGCTCTTTTGATCTTTGATAGAGCTCCTTGGATTTTACAGGCTTAGGATTTTTAGCTGTGGGGTGATCTGACCAGTAGGTTTAGGGTATGAGGCCTTAATTGCCCTTCTGCTTGTCTCCCTGCATGCCTGTGAGTAACATTGTTTTTAAGTTATGAGCATACACGTTATCTTGTCACAATGAGTTCTCAGTGAGACCGCAGTGAAGATGTGAAATAAACATCCCTTAAAGAAATGTGTGTACCTTAGAACAGTGACAAAACTTGGTAATTGTAAATAACATCAGTTTGGTGGGCAGGAAAAATTATTATGGGTATGCCTGCACATTCCTTAGAGCAGTGAGCCTGGTTGTCAGCCGAGGTGTCAAACCAGGAATAGCACCCAGCTTCAGCTGGAGTGTGATCCGTGTGTTGGGGCTTGGGCTGTGCAGGAGAACACAGTTATAAAACTGTGCTGGGTTTTTTAAATAAAAGCAATAAAGGTGGTGGTCTGGTCTAACTTGTATCCTGAATGTTGAGTCATCTGGAAGGTATGATTTTAAAACCAAAAGTCTTCTGCCTCAGCCCAGCTCCTTCTTGTGGGGTGTCACAGCCACAGGTGCCCCAGCGCAGAGGCAGCAGTGGCAGCCAGTGCCACCTGCTGCTCAGGGGTAACAGTGCCTTGGTTGCTATTCTCCTCCTTACCTGTGAGCCATTTTGACCCTTAAGTCTGAGAGGAGGAATACAGCTTGCCAAGCAGACGTGTCTTGGTTTTGTACAACTATTGTCTCCTGCAGAAGTCCTCTTCTATCTCCATTAACGTGTCTGTGGCTTCAGGAGCAATCACTTCATCATCTAGTTACTGATGTGTTGAAGAATGAGACTTCAAAATAAAAAGCAATAGTTAAAATATTGAAGGATGGGAGGCAAAAGAATTTCAAATGGCTTGCTGCTTTCTGTTAGCTGTTTTCATTGCAAAGTCTTACGCAGATTTTTCTTCTGCCTGCAAAGTGCTCACCAGCTGTTTGTGAAGCAAACAAATGTAGATGATGTTTATTGTTTAACTTCAGTTTGGTGAGAGTTTGAATATTGTGCTCTGGTCAAAAAAGTGACAATGTGAAGAAACAGGCTTTGATACTTCCGATATGTTATCCTGCCTTTTTAAGTAAGAGTCACACCCTGTTCCTTTCTGGGTTTTTTTTTAATTAATGCTTACTCAGTAAACTTGGAATTCATTTCTTGTAGAGCATCAAGAGAAAATCCAGCCATGCAAGAAAAGAAGAGATCAAGCATTTGGCAGTTGTAAGTATTGAAATACAACTCACTGGCAAAAGTAAATTCAAGACCCTAACCAATTAGCTGGCACATTTTTGTATGTTAGCTAATTATCTTTTGGCAGCTGACAATGTCTTAACTGTTCTCCTCTTGTCACCTAGCATGCCAGCTCGGTAAGACTGTTCTTGAAGACAAAATGTATCGTAAGCTGCATCACATAGTGAATGGCTGTGCACTTTGTGAAGTTAAATGCCAAAGTGCTGTAGTTCATTTTTTCTAGCTGATCGTGCAACAGGACTCTTGTTCTGAACATTTTTCTGGATCCTCTTTTATGATAAAAAACAGAAACCTGACTTGCTCGTGTGGATTGCATTTATTTCAGCTTTCTTTTCCTCTCTGAAGTATGGCTTTACTGATGATTAAATTATCCTTTCTAACTTCAAGGTTCTTTAAATCTAAAACAATGTTATTCACAACAAGATATTTGTCAAATAATCCTTTTGATGTTATGGTTTGCTCATAACTATTCTACCTTTTTAGCCTAGAAAATGGTGGGGTTTTAAAGTGTTGTGCATGAACTAATGTGCTTCATAAAACTGTCCCCAGTTGTGATGTTCACATCCTAGTTTTGTTGGTTCCTCTGTAGTTCTTCATTTAATATGAAGATCCCATTAAATCGGATAACCAAAAGGGATAATAATTCTTTAATAATTTTTCTTAAATGAGTTTCTGTGCTTTGAGAGTGTTGCTGAGTGCGTGGTGGCTGCTGCTATGCTGGGCTCCAGTCCCTCAGTCTAACTGGCTTGAGCAGCATAGCATATGCAGTGTTTTGCCTACATAGTGAAATCTGGATGTATCTTACAAATCTTAACTCTCATCTTTTTTTAATTCTTCTAGTTTTAGCAGACTCTTCAGTTCATCTAGCAATACAGCTAAGAAACCAGAACCTCCTGTGAATGTTAAATATAATGCTCCAACCTCGCATATTACTCCATCAGTCAAGAAAAGAAGCAGCACTTTATCTCAATTACCGAGTGACAAATCTAAAGCCTTTGAATTCCTCAGTGAAGAGTAAGACATTTTGGTTTTATAATACTAGATACACTCTGTTGAGTATTTAGTTAAGACAAGTAACGTGCTGCTAACTGAAGTATAATGTTCTCCTGAAGTGGATGTTGATACATAAGAAATGAACACAGTGCAGAGCAAAACGCACAGCAGCAGATAAGAACTCAGGGTGCCTGGCAGTAGTGTTCTCTTTGGTAAATATCACTGTCTTTCACAAAAGTGCATTTAGAAACAGGAGAGGCAGCACTTGGTACACTTTTATATGCAAGTTTTATAGCTAAGCAATAGCTGTACAGATACTCTCTCCTTAAGTTCAGTGGAAAAATAGAACAACGTGTGAGTCAGGCTAACAAGTATCTAATTTCTTGTTCTTTCTTGTGCTTCTTTTTGGCGATATATCTTTTTAGTTTAAAACTTTTAGAGCTTGGAATAGAAGTCCATAACCCAAGTTAGTTTTCTTCAAGGATACTGACAATAGACTTGCTAATTTTGCCTGTATTTCAGAGTTCTCTTAGAAATAGTCCACAGGAAACCTGGTGGTCTATAGGTGATGTGTGAAAAACTGATGATGTCTTTGGTAACCCAGTGCTTCTGCAAGACCTTGTCTATTGAGTTTAATAGCAGCTCCCATTACACAAAGAATTCTAAAGAACATAAATAACGTGTTCTTTAATAATGATTCTTTCCTAGAACTGAAGCCAGTTTAGCCTCACGCAGAGAGCAGAAAAGAGAGCAGTACCGCCAAGTGAAAGCACATGTTCAGAAAGAGGATGGTAGAGTGCAAGCATTTGGCTGGAGTCTACCTCAGAAGTACAAACAGGTATTATGTTGCCAAATGCATGGATAACAACTTCACGTTTTGTGAAATTCTAACAGAGTATAATTTCATAGCTTGTGTTTAAATTGATTCCAGCAACATTTTTTGTTGTTGAACTTCTGCATTTAAGAGTCTTTCCAAGGAAAACCACAATGCAAAACTCTTAATCATGGTTTACGAAGGTTGATCAATTGGTTCCAAAGACTGTAAACCTCTTTTAAAGGGGAAAATTTTTCTGTTGGTTTGGTGTTTTGTTTTTTTGTTTAGGTGGCAAATGGTGGACAGGGTGAGAATAAGATGAAGAACTTGCCTGTACCTGTTTACCTGAGACCTTTAGATGAGAAGGATACCTCTATGAAGGTAGGCTGTTTACAGTGATGATACAAAGACTTGGACATCCTATAGCTTGAATATTTCTATTGTAGATTCAACTATTTTTGATATAAAGTTGTTTCTTTTTAAAGTATAGCTGAATCTGAATTTAAGCTTCAGTAGAAACACGCCTTACTTTAATCTCAATTAATTCCATAAAACGGACTGCAGATGTATAGTTCTTCTGATATTACCTAGCATAAAATGTCTTTTTGTTTTTTTTAGTTTAACATTTAAGTGAATTATTTCTTTTTCTTTCAAGCTGTGGTGTGCTGTAGGGGTGAACCTGTCAGGAGGGAAAACACGAGATGGTGGGTCAGTGGTTGGTGCTAGTGTGTTCTACAATGATGTGACTGGTGTGGACGCAGATGGCAACAAGCAGCAAACAGGATCTCAAAGTAGCTTAGATAGACTAGACCAAGAGCTCAAGGTAAGGTCACTGTAAGGCATGTTGAATAGTTTATATAGTTTATATATGTACAGATAAATAAAATAGCTTGCAATCAGGTTTATTGGTAATGTATAGATTTCTTTTTTTCTTGGGGAGTCATCAACTCTAGATATTTTGGTTATTAAATCCAGCTACAAAAATACTGTGATTTCTGTGTGCCTGATTCTTGGCAAATCTGAGGAGCAAATCACTTTTACATCAAAATGGTGCACTGCTTATACCAGTGCTACTGGCTTTAGAAAACATTTGTCACAGAATTGTTCATGTTCTGACTGCCACTTAGATGGCATTTGGGTGTCTGTGCCATTGTTTACACGTGTGTTAGTGTTCATGTTTTCATGAAGAAGCAATGGGTGGAGTTCGTATTAAGGGCATAAAAATAAAGGCTTATTTTAGAAGTCTGGAACATCATGTTAATCTGTGGTGATATCAAGTATGGTGGCTGGCAAATAAATAGTGTTTGTATGTAGCTTTATACTTGTCTAACTGTATAACTGTGCAGTATAATTACTTTCTATAGTTTCCTACACAAGTATGAAATGGGAGGGGATTTTTATATTCCAAATACATAAAGAACAAGTAACTGTGTATTTTTACAATGGCATTAAAAATATTCAGCTTATCACATATATATATATTTCTGTAGCTGATAATACAAGAACGCACAAGATCAAAGGTAATAGTTCTATTCTTACCTCCCTTCCTGTTGTTGCTCACTTTTGTTCTGCCTTTATTCTCCCTCAGGACCAGCAGAAGGAGCTGAAACATCAGGAAGAATTATCCAGTCTAGTTTGGATCTGTACTAGCACACATTCTGCTACAAAAGTTATCATTATTGATGCTAATCAACCAGGAAATATTCTGGACAGTTTCATTGTTTGCAATTCTCATGTGCTTTGTATTGCTAGTGTACCAGGTAAAGGCTTGTGATGGTTTAACTGTATCTTATTCAGATTTTCTTACACAGTGGAAAACTAAATATATGTTAATTAGTGTGATAAAATATTACTGTAACACAGCAGTAAAAATTGGGTAGTCGTAGGGAAAACTACTGGATTTCTACTCTACTGTTCCACTCTTCAGTTGTCTCTTGACCTAAATTTACTCAAAGATAGAGAGATGTCATCAACAGAGACAAACTATTTTGTCTGTGGTGTTACAAATTGTGCAGTAGTGCCAATGCATTATGCAACTGTGAACATCACAAATGAAACGTGTTGGCTTTTTAGACCTCTCTAGCCTCTTGAAGATAATTAGCAAGTACTTGGAGCTTCCTGTAGAGGGAATCCTTGTTCCACTGAGAGTGTATGTTGATAGTCTACTGAGGAAAGTTTAATAGGGAGGACATTATGATTTTGCAGAAGAACTAATTGTGCTTTTGGATTTTGTGTTTCTTGGCCTTCACTTATAGAAGGCTGTAGCTAGCTAGTTCAGTGAAGTAGTTTTGTTTAATAACTCAGAAGGAATCTTTCCAGTGAAGTTTGAGGTTTTGCTCCATTGAAACTGTGTATAACTTGTAAAATCAAACCAGCATAAAATATAAAAATGTCCAAAACCCAAGAATAATATTTTAAGTCTTAAAAGTATTTGAGAAGGTTTTTTTGAGAGGAAAACAAGCTTTTCTTGCAGAATAAAGGATCTTTTGCAGTTAAATTCTTTATCAAGATGTAGATATATATCCCTCCATATGTTCACTGTTACAAAACCTAGTTTTAGTGGAAATTGTATCTGAAATAGTAATAAACTAGTTGAAAAACTCTGCAGCTTGAAATATGGCTTATGACATTTGGATGTGCAGCATGTGTAGATAGTGCTTTTGCTTTTTGAACTATCTGACAGCATCTGTAATGTCTGCTGATGATGTTAAAATAAGCTTGTAGATGGGTATCTGGGTGTTAAATCTCAGTTCCTGGAGAGTTCATTCAGTCTGAAGCTTAGTTTGTTATTGGATAGAAAAGTGATCCACCTTTATCTACACAAGAAACATGAGTTTGATCTCTTTCAGGGGCAAGGGAAACAGACTATCCTGCAGGAGAAGAAGGGTCTCAGGAAGCAGACCCCAGTCAAGTGGACAAGTCATCTCTGTGTGGAAGTATGACCAGCAACAGCTCTGCAGAAACGGACAGCGTGCTGGGAGGAATAACAGTCGTTGGCTGTACTGCAGAGGGTATCACAGGAGCACCCACAGCTCACGATGCAAACGGTGGCTCACCAATGCCAGATAAACAGTCAGGTATAAAAAATCTTACAAGTATGCCAGGGATGAACAAACACCATTAGGTGTAACTGGAAAATGAATGGTGTAAGTATTTAATGTAATAGTTTGTCTGTAAGTGGCGATAACATAAAACGAGTCCTCTGTGGGGAATGACCTGGGAGTCTGATACCCTTGCACTGCATAATTGTAGCTGAAAGGTTTGTGGAGGTGGTGATAAATGGATATACACAATTGCTTCTTTCAGATACTTTTGAGAGAGCTCTGTCCTGGGCATGGTCTAAAGGGTTTTTTTTCAGTATTTGAAATGCAGATCTTGCTGACACATCACTAGAGACAATATGGATATATGCTTTAAATTTTGTGAAGTCTTAGAGGTTTAAGTGAAACTGCTTACTTAATTCTTAAATTTTTTGCCCTTCAGAGCTGTATGGTGATATGATTCTTAATGGATATGTGGTTGTTGGACTTGTTCACTGCTATTCAAGTTAATCACTTAAAGGGGAATCTGTGCCATCAGTCACAGGGTTGATAGTTCAAGTGCATTTGATGCTTGTTCCTACAGTGCAACCTACTAAAGTTTGGGTGTTTGATCTGATTTATTTATTTTTTTTTTTTTTTAGATTAAATATAAAGTCTGGATTGTGATTGGTTATTACAACTGTTCACTTGAGTTCTAAGTATCATGTTGTGGGTATTTTAAATAACAGCTGCAAGAGAATTCTCGATTACAAATATTTTCCTTTTTTTATGTTCTGCAGATACTGCAACTGAAAGTAATTCAGTAGATGAGAACATTCCAACAGCAGAGGAGGCAACAGAAGCAACAGAAGTCAATGCAGGGACAGGAGAAGACACAGCTGATATTGCACAAACTGGAGTCTACACAGAGCATGTCTTTACAGATCCTCTGGGAGTGCAGAACACAACAGAGGCATCTCCAGTGTACCAGCCTAGGTACATAATCTCAATCCTCATACTTTTGAACACTTATTACAGAGAAAAAACGTTTGTAGGAACAAAACATGGCTTTTGAAATTACTACTTGTTTCTTAGTAATTATGTTGAGATTTATGTGAGTTGTCTTGGTACAAGGCACCGTTATGCTTTGCTTGCATGAAAGGGTCACCTATAAAGTGAGGCTTTTGTCTGTGAATTTATATCCTTTGAGTACAGACACCTTGAGAAGGGAGCAGTGAGAGTCTACCAGCCTGTCACTAAGACCTCTCACAGTCTTAATGGAGTGGTGCTAATCTAGAGATGCGCATTTAGATTGCCTGTTTTGTTGTCAAAATAGATAAGAATTACACTCCTTTCTTCCAGTCAACTGGTTGTTCAAACATATGTTTTTATTGGAATAGTCAATCTGTGTGTAGCTACAGGAGTAGAGAAGAAGCTTGAAAATAATCAGTGTTTCAAGTCTTCACGAATCTTCACTCTCCACATGGAATCACAGAACTATCATACAGCTTTTTTATAAGCATTTCTCTTAAAGTGTGTCTCTGTTGAAACTTTCTGCCATTCCATTGAATGGAACCTAAATCTCTTTGTAGAAGTACGTCTACTTAAAGAAATTAACTGTTACTAGGTTTTCATCTGTATTGCCCAGTTACTGATTTTTTTTTTTTAAGTAACTTATGCACTTCAAAAGCCAGTGTAGAAAATAGCATCAGTGAAGTAAATACCTAGGTTATAATTTTAATCATCTGTGCACTTTATTCAGTGTATTTTAACTGTTTTGTTTGTTTTTTTTTTCTTTTAGTACTGAGTCAGAGTTATATAAAGATGTTGCAGTTTTGCCAAATGAGCAAGATTTAGTGAGAGAAGAAGCACAGAAAATGAGCAGCCTCTTACCAACAATGTGGCTTGGAGCACAGAATGGATGGTGAGAAAATGCTAATCTTATTAAAATTATTTGGCAAAAAATATTTTAAGTTGCCTTTTGTGCCTACAGGCCTGACAACTGTCTCGAGTTAAGATCAAGTGCAAGAAGACCTCAAGAGAGCCTAAACTTTGTACACTTTGCTATAGTTAGGCATTATAGAATTCAAAGAAAATATTGTAGGTGATTAGCAAGCTCTTTTTGACAGATAACACTTTAATCTGCAGAAAAGCTTTGGGTTTTTTCTGTAGTCAGAGACATTGTTGGTCTGATAATTCTGTAACTTTCAATATTTTATTATGCTAGAAAAATAGACTGCCCTTTTTACTGCAGATGTCTCTACAAAGAAGCTGGTAATGCTCTAGGCCTCTGACAAAAGATTCCACTGCTCATGTGGTTGGTTCTTTCAGCCTATACATAGTTTTCAGTGTAAGATTAAAACGTCTTTTCCCATTGAGGACTTCAGTTATAGGGATTTTGCTTGGTTTTTTTCCTGTCTGGTAGACCTTTCCTAGTGCTTTTAATCCCTCCTGATTTGTCTTTGCAGCCTGTATGTTCATTCGTCAGTGGCGCAGTGGAGGAAATGTGTTCATGCCATTAAACTTAAAGATTCTATTCTCAGTATTGTGTAAGTCCTGAAAGAACATCATGTAAATCATAATGAACTTTTGTTAAAATACTTGCCAAGTAGTTTTGTATTTTCCTCCTTGGATATTGGGAATATCACTTGCCATAAATGCATGTATATTCTTTGAGGGGGAATGGAAAACTTTTGGGGAGTAAGGAAAGCGAAAGGAATCTTGTTTCTCTTGCAAATACTGTAGCTCAAATGATGAGCTGTAGCTGTACACTGAGAAGAGTTATAGGTTGTTATCCTTGATGTTTTTTTCAGGCTTTGCAGCTAGATATATTTTAAGCTTTCTGAACTGGATTTGACACCTTGTTACTGTCCCTTCTCTTGAGCTATATTGTAGAAATCAAACACTAGGGCTAACATGAATATAAAAAGTATGCTGAAGTATAAGATGCTTACACCTTGCTTTAAACTTGCAGTTTGAGAAATGAAATCTAATGGTGTATATTCCTGTGCCTCCTTTTTTTCCCCAGACATGTAAAAGGAATAGTATTAGTTGCACTAGCTGATGGAACACTAGCAATATTTCACCGAGGAGTTGGTAAGAATTCTACTAGATCTTGAAACCAGTGAAGTTGTAACAGTGTTCAGGTTTATAAACGTGCCATTTCTGAATAGTGTTTCAAAAATGTGTTCCTCAATGGCCTTTTTACAGTTTGTCTTCAGAAGTCTTTCTAGTATTTCAGTTGTAGCTTCAAATACTGGTTTTACACTGTCCTGGTACATTCCTGGAATTTTTTCCATGTCTGAGAAGGATGGGATATATCTGAGTTAAATAGCAAAAAGCCAGTTGATAAAGTCCACTTTGATCATCGTCTCTTTCACTTTTTCAGCATGCTTAATAGTCCTGTCTTCTGTTTTGGTATTAGTGTTAATAGTTGTCTGTGGCCAAGTCCTCCAATGAGATCTTTGTAAACATCCCTTCAGAATAAATGCCCAAACTGCTCCTGGATGAGCTCCCTTCATCAGCCTCCAGAACGAGGACCTGGAGGGGAAGGTCTTACAGGAAATTACCTGTTGCGTTCTTTCCTTCATTCTTTTGTTCTTTTCCTTGTAGAGTTTAAATCCTTGTACTCAGCACTTAGAAGAATTAAAGAGGTTGCACAGCACTAATGCAAATATTAGGAAAGGTGCATCTGGGTTGAAGTTTTTTTTTTTGTATTTTTTGTTTCTTGAACTCAAACTGTAGTGGCTCACAGTCCTGAAGGATCTCAAGTAAATGTCAGAGATGATCTGGGGCTTAGCCCAGCCTGCAAAAGAATTTTACTTGGTGTTGAATGACCCAATTTAGTATGCTTTCAGTAGAGTTCAGGTGCCTTAAGGTCTTTCAGCATATTTAGAAAACATCTTGATGTACTGGCCAACATTTCTGTGTTCAGTCAAGCAGCAAGTGCCTAGTGCTTGTGTGGGTAGTTGCTGCTTGTAATGTATACTGATGCCTATCCAAGTAAAGCATTTAGCACTAGGTAACTTGCTGGTTTTAAAAACATTTTGATATGTTTTGAACATGAGTCACTGTACAACCTTATTATATTAAAAACAAAGTAGAATTTAGTTGTGGGTTTTATTAAGAGAAGCCGAGCCATAAATTTGTGTTTATTTATCCAGATTATGATAGTGTTTTTAAAAAAATTACACTGGTAAGATATTGCTTGTACTTTTAAATGATACTTAGTCAGAGGAACCTATGTTTTGTTTTTTCCTCTTCCTTCTGTTTTTAAAGATGGTCAGTGGGATTTGACAAACTATCACCTCTTAGACCTGGGCCGGCCGCATCATTCGATAAGGTGCATGACAGTGGTACATGACAAAGTCTGGTGTGGCTACAGGAACAAAATCTATGTTGTTCAACCAAAGGCCATGAAAATAGAGGCAAGTTAAAATGGTGTTTAAAACATAACAATTATTTTAATGCCATCTAATGCTACAGGTCAAACTCCAGAGAACTGGTATTAGTTTATCAGTACAGAAACAAGCAGCCAAACATATTTGTCTTGGGAAACACTATTACATTTGCTTAAGATGCTTTCATTGCTTTGAAAGTTTTAAGCAGTGATGAGGCAGTTCTCATTTATTGAAACCAAGTTTTGGGCAGTTTAGTTTTCTACTTCTAGCTGGCCAGGAACTGGAAGGTGTCCTTATGCTGAGCTTGCAAGGCTAGCTCCCAGCTCATTCTGTACAAGCATGCCTTATTATGTTCTCCACCCACCTGTAACCTTCTCTATAATCTGTCTTTGCATACTTCAGAGGTTTGTAAATGTTAATCTTGAATGTACTCTCCCTCCAGTTACAGAATAGTTTGTTTATATAAGGTGTGTAAGCTGGTGTTTCTGCACTGTTGTATGTGTACGTGACAGACATCTCAAGTACAGAGGGTGCCTAAGGTTTGTGAAAGCCATTAGCAATATTAATACTTCTGCTAATTGCCCTGAGACATGGGCTAGACCTTTTAAGGGTGACTACTCAGCTCTTCTGAAAATACTGAGAACCAAACTAATAATCTATTTTTGTGTATAATAAATATATATATATA